CTCTTCAGCATTGCCCAGGTCCAGGACCTGTGCCGAGCACTGCTAGGACTGGCGCCAGCCCGCAAAGGGCTCACGGTGTAGTTGGGAGGTGTCAGAAGGAAATGATCAGACACATGGAAGGAACATCATGGTGCAGTTTTAGAAACAGGCACAGGGATCTGAGCCTGAAACTCAGGAGGAGAAAAGAGACAAGGCTTCCAAGAAAAGGTAATGCCAGAGCCGTGACTGAAAGGACGAGAAAGAGTTGACAGGGAAAGCAGGGGGAAGGACATTCTAGGTGAAGAGGACAGCAAAGCAAAAGGCACACAGGGAACAAACATGGAGTTCGTTATAGACCAGAAACTATAACGCCATCTTGGAGCACTGGGGCATAGTGGGAAAGGTCTCCAGGATTCGTGTAACTATCCTGAATAAAGTTATAGTTTGGCAAATTGTTTAAAGACTGGATAGCTTTTTTTAAAAATTAAGGTTGTGTGAGTGTAACGTGTAGTGTTTCAGGAATGTTTTGGTGATGTAGTCAGGGGCTTGGATTTTATCATGTGGACCAAGAGTCTCTGGGTGGATTTCTGGGAGTGCACTATATGTACATAGATCACGTGTGTATGTGTGCTCATGCAAATGTGTGTGCATGTATGCACATGCAAATGTGCACATGTTTTTGCTTATTTGTTTTGAGAGAGGGTTAATTGCTTTCATCAGATTTTCAAGGCGTCTATGACACAAAAAAAGGTAAGAACCATTGCTATTGGTCATGAAAGGGTTTGAGCAGAAGAGTAACGTGCTCCAATTTGTATTTCAGAAAGACAATTCTTGGATCTGTGTGGAGGATGGACATTGGGCCAACAGGACTATGGCAGGGAGGCTGGCTAGGAAGTTGTTGGCAGCAGCCCAGGCCGAGATTACAATGAGAGCTTGAATTAGGGCAATGGCAATAGCAATGTGGAACTGAAGATAGATCTGAAAATCATGAAGAAGTCAAAATATCAGGACTTGACAGTTGCGGAGTGATGGGAAGTGAGGCAGAGGGAGGAGTCAAAAGTCAGGGTTTCTGACTTTGATGACAGGGGATGTGTTGTTACTGACTGAGAGGGAGGAGAGACAGCAAGCAGGCTTGGGGAAGGGAAAAGTGAGTTCAGTGTGAGTTTAGGTTTCCTGGGGAACCACCTAGGTATATAACCATACCTGAAGCCAGTATGAGTTGAGAACGTATGTGTAAATAGGTTAACAGTTAAAATCAGGAGACTACAGAGAAAGAACTGAATGAGTGAGCAGACAAGGTGGGACCTTTGAGCTACCCCATCTATTATCCTCCTTTACCAGATGAGGAAAATGGGGCTCTCAGGGTTAAATGACTTGCTCAAATTCAGAGGTATCAAACCTGATAACTTTCAGAACAGGGCCTTGGAACCAGGTCTGTAATTCTTACCCAGTTCTCTCTGCTCACAGACTTGACTTGAAAATGAGGTGACCTGACATCCTCCGGTTTGTCTATGTCTAAATCCATCACTTCCAGTGGACAGTAGCTCTTTCTTTAACCTCAAGTTCTGTTTCAGATTAATGACAGTTTCCCCCCAACCCACCTCAGCCCTGTCCCTTGAAAGTAGACCATTTTGAGAGCTTGTTACCAAGTTCAAAATTGTCCTCGTTGCTCAGAATGTGTTTGGAACTGGACTCTGGGAATTTCCACTAGGGTTCTAGAATGGCTTCCTGGAAAGAACCTTGATATTGATGATGGAAAATATTCCTTTGACTTTTTTTTTAAAAGAGGTTTATTGAGGTATAGTTTTCATACAGTAAATTTCACCCTCTCAGTGCACAGTTCTGTAAGTTTAACATACACCATCATGTAACTGCCACCACCATCTAGATATAGAACATTTCCATTCCTCCCAAAAAGTTCCTTTATGCCCCTTTGTAGCCAACCTCCAGCCTCTCCCCCAGTGCCTGGCAATCAGGAATCTTTTTTCTATCACTATAATTTTTCCTTTTGTAGAACATCATATAAGTAGAGTTTTATAATTTGTAGCTTTTTGGGCCTGCTCATTTTACTTAACCTAATTATTTAGATTTACCCACGTGGTTTTGTATATCAGTCATTTTTTCCTTTCTACTGCTGAGTAGTATTCTATATTCCACAGTTTGTTTATCCATTAACCAGCTGACTGGTCATTTGTTTGCATCTGGTTTTTGACAATTATGAATATCTGAATACAGTCTTTTATTTGAACTTAGTTTTAATTTTCTTGGATAAATACCAAGGAATACTAGTGTGTTGCTGAATTATATACCAACTGAAGGTTTAATTTTCTGAGAAACTTCCAAAATGTTTTTCAAAGTGATTGTACCATTTTCCATCTGCCTCACAATGTCTGAGAGCTGCAGTTATTTGGTATCATTGTTAGCATGTGGTATGGTCAGTTTTTTAAAATGATGCCAACGGGGACATAACAATATGTCATTGCGGATTTTAATTTGTATTTCCTTAATGACTAATGATGCTAGGCATATTTTTGTATGCTTAATTGCCATTCTTTATTTTGTTTGGGAAAGGGTCTCCTAAAATTTTTTGACCATTTTTTTTTTTTTGAAAGGTTTTTGCTATAGGGCACGTGCACTCACCAGACAGACAGAGAGAGACATAGAGACAGAAAGAGAGAAATCACCCCCAAGGGGGGATGATCACGCCGCAATCCCTTTACGCCCTGGCGTGAGTTTTAAGCCACCGGGTCTGGGACGTGAACCGTGGTCGACTACGTGGGTGTCCAGTGACATAGCCATTACGCTAACTGCTGGTTCCCTTTTGACCATTTTTTTATAGGGCTGTTTATTTTCTTATCATTCAGTTTGAAGCGTTCTTCATATTTGATAAATACAAATCCTTTATCAGATATGTGTTATGAGAATATTTTCTTCAGTCTGTGGGTTACCTTTTTGTTTTTTTGACCATGTCTTAGAAATAGCAGAAGTTATTGATTTTGATAAAGTCCACTAGTGGAGAAAAAAATTAGCCCTAGATTAAACACTGCTCTGGTCCCATCTAAACAAGCTTAAAAGTAATACCTAAAATGTTCAGTGTTTACAATAAATTTAATGGTGTCCCAGAAAAAAAGTTTAAGATTATTTAACTGAATACAAAGACATTTGGCACTAGACAAAATTCATAATGTCTGATACCCAATTATAAATTATACAATAAAAAGGAAAGAAAAAGAGAAATTCAAACCATGATAAGGGAGAAAAGCAGTCATCCAAAAGGGACTCAGAAATAAGTTAGAGTATGAACTTAGAAGTCAAAAACATAAAAAGCCATTGTAACAGTATTCATGTATGCCTGAAGATTGAGGAAAGAACAAGTTAAACGGGACCATAGTAGATAAAAAAAACTACCTAAATTGGAGCCAGCAGGTGGCATGGTGGTTAAGGCACTGAACTCCCACATGTCCAATTCTAGTTTATGTCCGGACCTGGCGGTTTGGAAAATTATGCTGGGCACATGTGTGTGGGTGCCCAAAATCCTGAGAGGAGAATGGATTATGTTATGGCCATCCCCCCTTGGGGTGATTTCTCACTTCTCTCTCACTGTCTCTCTCTAGTGAGTGCATGCACCCTGTGGCAAAACAAAACAAAACAACAAACAAACAAAAATTACCCAAATTAAGTTTTTAGCAACAAAAACTCCAATTAATTGGTGCTAAAAGCAGATTGCAAAGAACAGATTAAACTTGTCAGTGCAGCCCTGTGACCTAATGGTTAAAGGAGCCAGATCTCATATAGCCGACCACATGGTTTGAATCCCAGACCTGGCAGCTTGAAAAACACACTAGGCATGCATAGATGTATGGCCTGAATTCCAACAGGATAGAGAAATGGAAGAGAAGGATTGTGGTGTGACCATGCCCCACAGGTGGGTGCTTTCTCCCTCTTCCTCTCTCTCTCTGTCTCTCTCTGGTAAGTCTGTCCCCTGTGTGAAATAAAAGAAAAGATTAATGGATCTGAAGCTATCACAATGGAAACTATCTAAAGTGAGAAAACTATCCAAAACAAGGAAAAAACACTGAACAAAATGAACGGAGAATCAGTGAGCTGCAGAACTTCAGTGGTTAAATATACATGTAATTAGAGTCCCAGAAAAAAGAAATGGAGAAAAAGAAGAGTGAAAAAAAATATTTAAAGAGGAGCCAGCAGATAGCACAGAGGTTAAGGCACTGGATCTCACATGGCTGACTCCCTGGTCCAAGTCTCAGACCTGGCGACTTGAGAATCATGCTGGGCATGTGTGCATGTATGCCTAAACTTGTGAGAGGACAATAAAGGAGAAGGAATTATGGTTTGGCCATTCCCTGGGAAGTGATTTCTCACATGTGAGAGGGGAAGGGAGGAGAAAGAATTGTGGTGTGGCCATTCCCTGGGGAGTGATTCTCACTCTCCCTCTCTCTCCTTTTGGTGACTGCATGCGCCATAGCAAACTACAAAAAAAAAAAAAAAGTTTTTTGAAGAAATAATGAAGAAGATTTTCCAAATTGGATAAAAATGATGAAACAATCTATCTAAGAAGCCTAAGGAAAGTTAAGCACATGGCTCATGCAAAAACTATAAAAGGTCCAGATTTAATCAGATTACAGCCAGTAATAAAGAGAATCTTGGGACTGGCAGGCGGCATGGTGGTTAAGAGCACTGGACTCCTATATGGCCAACCACAATTCGAGTCCTAGACCTGGCAGCTTGCTTTCTTACTTTCCCTCTCTCTCTTACTCTGTCCCTCTCTGGTCAAATTAAAAATAAATAAATAAATAAGTTAAATAAGATAATTAAAAAATAGAGAATCTTAAAACATCCATAGAAAGCAACATATCATAAGCAACATAAGCCAAAAACAGTGAAGCAGCACCTTTTAAAAGATGAAGTGAAGAGGCCAGAAGGTGGCATGGTGGTTAAGGTGCACATGGCTGACCATAGTTTGTGTCCAGACTGGGCGGCTGGGTACATGCCCAATATCCCAAGAGAGGAGAATGGAGGAGAAAGGATTGAAGCATGGCCATCCCCCTGAGCGGTGATTTCTCACTTCCCTCTCTCTGTTTCTGTCTCGCTCTCTCCCTGGTGAGCACATGTGCCCGATGGCAAAAGAATCTTTAAAAAAAAAAAAAAAAGATGAAGTAAAGAGCTAGCCTTGGAACCGGCAGTTAGCGTAATGGCTATGTCGCTGGACTCCCATGTAGTTGATGGTGGGTTAAGTCCCGGACCCGGTGGCTTAAACTCACACCGGGCATGTTTGCATGCATGCCCATGATCCTGAGAGGAGAATGGAGGAGAAAGGATTGAAGCATGGCCATCCCCCTGAGCGGTGATTTCTCACTTCCCTCTCTCTGTTTCTGTCTCGCTCTCTCCCTGGTGAGCACATGTGCCCGATGGCAAAAGAATCTTTAAAAAAAAAAAAAAAAAGAAAAAGAGCTAGACTTGTCATCTACTGGTTAAGGGAGCTGGCCAGTCGAGGTTTGAATCTTGGTCTCCACAGCTTGAAAAATATGCCATGAACATGAGCAAGTGCATGTATGCCCCCAATCCAGGAGGATGGAGAAAAGAAGGAGAAAGGAGTGCAGTTTGACTATGCCCAGTTGGGGAGTACTTTTTCCCCTCCCTCTCTCTCTGTCTAGCAAGTGCATGTGCCCTCTCACAGTTTAAAAAAATGAAACTAAGATAATATGAAATTAAGATAATATAATTCTATGTGCAGAGAAAATGTTTCAAAAATGAAAAAGAAACAAATATTTTCTCAGATGTACAAAAACTGAAAAAAAAATTACTACCAGACCAACACATTAAGAAGTGTTAAAGGAAGTCCTACAAGCAGAAGGAAAATAACACAGAATGGAAATCAGGATCTACATGAGAGAGAGGAGCAACAGGAAAGACAAGGGTGCCCATCCTGAGCTAATAGCAAAGCCCACTGCCCAGCCTGCAGTGTGGGAGGAGGGCCTACCCCAGCCTGCACACCACGCATTGCACAGTGTGCACACTGTACTACCACCTTACATTCTACCTGTCCAGCTTAGCCTCCAGCCACCATGGGGGCAGATAATTTGGGGTCTACAGGAACCAAGCACCTTATGACAGGTTTGGGAGAAATTCTCTCTCCACACCTCCCTCCCACCCCTAGCAGTAAAAGGAGAGATGTTCCTCTCTCAAACCCTGAACCTGAAACTCCCACCTACAGTAGAGGAGGGAAACTGGCACAGAGCTAACACACACCACAGGAAAGCGCAGGAGCATACTATAGGAACATACTCTGAAGAAGTAGGAAGGAGTGAATACATCACCAGACGATTAAAGATCTAAGAGTCCCAGGAAATAGGAGAAAACCAGGAAATACCTCCTCCCCAAAGGAATATAACTCCTCACCAAAAATGGCTAAAACACAAGAGATCACAGTAATGTCAGAAAAAGAACTCAGACTATTAATTGTAGCAAAACTCAATGCGTTGCAGAAAAAAACAGACAATCAGTTCCAGGAGATGAGAAATCCTTCCATGACTTAAAGGAGGAACTCTATAAAGAGACATCCTGATAAAGAATCAAACAGAACTTCTGGAATAAAAAAATTGATGATCAAAACCTCTCTCAAAAGTATCAACAGCAGATTAGACCATGCAGAAGAAAGTATCTCTGAACTTGGAGATAAAACTTTTAATTTAAGAGAACAGCAGGTGGCATAGTGGTTAAGGCGTGGACACTGCCACATGGCCAACCGTGGTTTGAGTCCTGGACCTGGTGGCTTGCTTTCTCACTTTCCCTCTCTCTCTTTTTCTCTCTCTCTGTGTCTCTGTCTGGTCAAATTAAAATAAATAAATAGATAAATAAAATTAAATAAATAATTCTTTAAAAAAAATCTCTTATTTAGTCCAAGCAACTAAAAATAATGGAAGAATAACCATTAAAAATGAGGGCAACATACAGGAAATCCTAGACACCATTAAATAGCCAAATATGCAAATAATATTAGGTTGTTGGAAAAATAATTTTCCTTAGGAAAACGTGTCATGAGTTTTCAGACAAACCTGTAGGTATTTCAGAAGGTGAAGAGATAGAAAAAGATATAGAAAAAAAATTTTTAATATTATTTATTTAATTTTATTTATTACTATTATTTTAATTTGATCAGAAGGGGACAGAGAGAGAGAAAGGGAAAGTAAGAAAACAATCCACCAGGTCTGGGACTTGAACTATGGTTGGCCATGTGAGAGTCCAGCACCTTAACCACCATGCCACCTGCTGGCCCCACAGAAAATCTTTTTCATGATACATGAGCTGAAAACTTTCCTAACAGCCACATTGGTAAAAAGCAAAGACAAAGACAATATTCTAAAAATGGCAAAGAAAAAAGGCCAAGTTACTTAACAAAGGTTACTCCATTAGACCAACATCAGACCTCTCAACTGAAACAATGCAGACAAGGAAATAATGGGAAGACATGTTTAAAATTGAAAGAAAAAAAATTCACGCCACCAGATAGTATAGTGGTTAAAGCACTGAACTCCCACATGGCCAAATGAGGTTTGAGTCCCAAGACTGGAGGTTTGAAAATCACACTGGGCACATGTGAGTACCCAAAATCTCAGGAGGAGAATGGAAGAAAAGGGATTATGGCATGGCCATCCTCCCTGGGGGCAATTTCTCACTTTTCCTCTTACTGTGTCTCTGTCCTCTCTCTCTTGCGCACTCACACACCCTATTGCAAAAACATTTTAAAAAGGGTTTGAGTCCCAAGACTGGAGGTTTGAAAATCACACTGGGCACATGTGAGTACCCAAAATCTCAGGAGGAGAATGGAAGAAAAGGGATTATGGCATGGCCATCCTCCCTGGGGGCAATTTCTCACTTTTCCTCTTACTGTGTCTCTGTCCTCTCTCTCTTGCGCACTCACACACCCTATTGCAAAAACATTTTAAAAAGGAACCAGTGGGGACCAGCAGGTGGTGTGGTGGTTAAGGCGCTGGACACTCCCATATGGCCAACCATTGTTCGAATCCCAGACCTGGTAGCTTGCTTTTTCACTTTCCCTCTCCCTCTCTCCCTCTCTCTCTCTGTATGTCTCTCTCTGGTCAAATTTAAAAGAAAAAAAAGAATGAATAAATAAAATTAAATAAAAAATAATTCTTAAAAAAAAATCATGACTTAAAAAAAAAAAAAAAGGAACCAGCAGATGGTATAATGGTTAGGTCTCCGAACTCCCACATAGTCAACCACTGTTTCAGTCCCAGACCCAGCGGCTTTAAAACACTCACTGGGCGTGTGTGCATACATGCCCAAGATCCCAAAAAGAGAATGGAGAAGGGGTTGTGTGGGCCATCCACCCTGGGATTATTTCTCCTTTCTGTCTCTCTGTCTCTTTCTGTCTGATGAGCACATGTGCCCTATGGCAAAAATCTCTCTCTCTCTCAAAAAAAAAAAAAAAAAAAAAAAATCCTTAAAGAAAAAGAAAAAAATTTTCAGCCAAGAGTGCTATACCTAGCAAGATTACCCATCAAATGGGATGGAAAAATAAAATCATTCCCAGATAAACAAATGCTGAAAGAATTCACTAAAACTAATCCAGCTGTTCAAGAAGTACTGAAGTGATTACCATTCCAGAAAAACTAGTGGGAGATAGATAGAAGTAAGGAAACACAAAACAATTAGGAAAAAAAAAGGTAACAAAATGACAGGGATAAGTCCACACATATTGGTAATAATATTGAATGTCAATGGATCAAATTCCCCAACTAAAAGGCTAAAATTTCACGTTCAACTGTTTTACACAAGCAGGTTTAACTACACATTCACCAATTATTTGACCGACAGTTGTCTCCGCAGGTTTCATATTGAATTTGTGTGTTTATTGTTATAACTATTATTCATTGTATAAAACTAGGTCATGGGGGAAATGTCCAAATGTTCTAAGTGACTGAGTCTTGGGAATGAATTTAAAGAAGGCTAAAATCAAGAACTTTGTAAAGCCGATCAATCACCAACTCACTGATTTTTACCATGTCTTCACTTTTAAACATGTCTTTCCAACTTTGTTTTGTTTTTGCTTTTTTGAGGACTTACTTCTTTATGCACAGTATAGCACTGTGGTCTTACAAGAACTCACAGTGATTGAAGAGAAGTTTTCTTTTTCTATTTCTTCCTAATGAGCTATTGTTATGTACAATTTTACCTATCTCTAACTGGACCAATGATGGATATTACAGATCTTTCCAGATTATATACTTTTATCTCCCACGATCTTCTACATGAATATTACAGATGATTCTTTCATTGGCTAAGTTAAGATTTTCTTTGTTTTAAAAAATCAGTTCTTGGGACCAGCAGATGGTGTAATGGTTACATCACTGGACTCCCACTTGGCCAACCACAGTTCAAGTCCTGGACCTAGCAGGTTCAAACTCATATGTGTGTGTGTGCCCAAGATCCTGGGAGGAGAATGGAGTAGAAAGGGGACCAGCAGTTGGCATAATGGCTGTCGCTAGACTCCCATGTAGTCGACCGCAGTTTGAGTCCTGGACCCGGTGGCTTAAACTCACGCCAGGCATGTGTGCGTCATGCCTAAGATCCCAAGAGGAGAATGGAGGAGAAGGGATTGCAGTGTGGCCATTCCCCCGGGGGGTGATTTCTCACTTTCTGTCTCTCTGTCTCTCTGTCTTTCTGGCGAGTGCACGTGCCCTATCCCTTTTGTGGGGTGATATTTCTTACTTTCCCTCTCACTATCTTTGTCTCTCTTTCTCTGGCCAGCACAGGTGCCCTAAGGTTAAAAACCTTCTTTAAAAAATACTAGAAATTGGGAACCAGCAGTTGGCGTAATGGCTATGTCGCTGGACTCCCATGTAGTCGACCGTGGTTCACGTCCCAGACCCGGTGGCTTAAAACTCACGCCGGGCGCGTGTGCGTGCGTGCCCAAGATCCCGAGAGGAGAATGGAGGAGAAGGGATTGCGGCGTGGCCATCCCCTCTGGGGGGTGATTTCTCGCTTTCTGTCTCTCTGTCTCTCTCTGTCTGTCTGGCGAGCGCATGCGCCCTATAGTGAAAATCTCTCAAAAAAAAAATACTAGAAATGGTAAATATATGACTAAGTAGATTTTTAAATGATTATTTATTTAATTTTATTTATTATTATTATTTTTTAACTTGATAAGAGAAAGAGAGAGAGAAAGAGAAAGTGAGAAAGCAAGCCACCAGGTCCAAGACTCTATGGTGGGTCATGTGAAATTCCACACCACCTGCAGGCCCCAGTAAGTAGATTTTTTATTTTTAAAACCCTTTAAGAGATAATTGACTGGGAAGCAGGTGGTGTGGTGGTTAAAGTGCTGGACACTCCCACATGGCCAACTGTGGTTTGAGTCCTGGACCTGGTGGCTTGCTTTCTCATCTTCTCTCTCTCTTTCTCTCATCAAATTAAAATAAATGAATGAATAAATAAAATTAAATTTAAAGCAAAAGAGCAATAATTAACTGACAGGACCAGCAGATAGCATAATGGTTACCTCACTGGACTCCCACGTAGTTTATCCTGGTTTGAATTGGACCCAGCAGCTTAGAACTCATGTGGGGTACATGTGCATGCATGCCCAAGATCCTGAGAGGAGAATGGAGAAGGGATTACAGCATGGTCATCCTCGCTGGGAGGTGATTTCTTACTTTATGTCTCTCTGTCTCTCTCTGTCTCTCCAATGAGTGCATGCACCCTAAATCTCTTTTAAATGAATGAATAAATAAAATTAAATTTAAAGCAAAAGAGCAATAATTAACTGACAGGACCAGCAGATAGCATAATGGTTACATCACTGGACTCCCACGTAGTTTATCCTGGTTTGAATTGGACCCAGCAGCTTAGAACTCATGTGGGGTACATGTGCATGCATGCCCAAGATCCTGAGAGGAGAATGGAGAAGGGATTACAGCATTGTCATCCTCCCTGGGAGGTGATTTCTTACTTTATGTCTCTCTGTCTCTCTCTGTCTCTCCAATGAGTGCATGCACCCTAAATCTCTTTAAAAAGCTTTCTGGGGAACCAGCAGTTAGCATAATGGCTATGTCGCTGGACTCACACGTAGTTGACCACGGTTTGCGTCCTGGACCAGGTGGCTTAAAACTCATGCCGGGTGCGTGTGTGTGCATGCCCAAGATCCCGAGAGGAGAATGGAGGAGAAGGGATTGTGGCGTGACCATCCCCCCTAGGGGGTGATTTCTTGCTTTCTGTCTCTATGTTTCTCATTGTCTGGCGAGCGCACGCGCCCTATAGCAAAAACCTCCCCCCTGCCCCAAAAAAAAGCTTTCTGAAAAAAAAGATATTTGACTATGGGCAGCAGGTGGCATGGTGGTTGAAGCACTGGACTCCCACATGGTCAACCGCAATTCAAGTCCTGGACCTGGTGACTTGCTTTCTCACTTTCTCTTTCTCTATCTGGTAAAAATAAAAAATGATAATAATAAATAAAATTATTATTTTTTTTTTTTTGTGAGAGGTTTTTGCTATAGGGATGATTCCAGGTTCCCATCTGGAGACCTCCCTGAATATAACTAGCACACATGTACCCATGATCTGGATCCGGAACTAGGGGACTGCAGTGTTGAAACTGTATGGAGTGTTATCTCTCTATCTCTGTCTCTTCTTTCCTCTTCCTCTGTATCTCTCAAAGAAATAAAGAACCAACAAATAAAATAAAATGTGTGGGACTGGCCCTATAGCACAGTGATTAAGGGAGCTGAATCCCACATGGCTGACTATGGTTCAAATCCAGAGTACATCTTGAAAAACATACTGTGTGTGTGTGTGTGTGTGTGTGTGTGTATGTTGCCTAAAATTCTGGCTATGGAGAAGTGGGGAAAAAAGTATTGCAGCATGACCACATCCTATTGGTATTTTTATCTCTCCTCCCACAATAAAAGTGTGAAAAATGCTGTAAAAGATGTATTTTGAATGGGATGAAAATGCAAAATATTAGAATTTGTGGGCTGCCCCTGAAGTGGTACTTAAGAGGAAATCTATTACATTAAAGTATTACTTATTAAACATTTAATTATTATTTATAAACAATTAATTGGACCAGCAGGTGGCATGATAATTTGGGTGGCTAAATCCCAGATGGCCAACTCTGTGATTTGAATCCTGGACCCAGTGGCTTGAAAAACATACCAGGTACATGTGTGTGCCCAAAATCCTGAAAGAAGAGGAAAAGGGAGGAGAAGGGATTATGGTGTGACTATCCACTTTGCAGTGGTACTTTCTTTCCCTTTTTCTTTCCTTCTCTGTCTCTCTCTAGCAAGGACACACACCATCTGGTCAATTAAAAAAAAAAAGTAATTCTCTCAAAATTAATTGTGGCATTAACCTATAATAATTCAAATTAGATTAGCAGAAAATTAACATCCCAAATCAGTAACATCAAATTCAACCTTATGAAATAGGAGAAAAATAACCAATTAAAACCCATGTAAGCAAAGAGAAGAAAAAATAATGGTCAAAGTGAAAAATCAATGAAAAAGAAAACAGCAGCAACAACAAATAGAGAAAAATAAATGCAATGAAAAACAGTAAAAGATCAATAAAACTGATCAACTTTAGCCAAAACAATCAGGAAAATAGAAGGCATAAATTGCCAATATCAGGAATGAAGAACATGATCACTATAGAACCTATAGCTATTAAAAATATAGGGCCAGAAGATGGCATAAAGGTTTAGGTGACTGTATCCCACATGGTCGACTGCACAGTTTGAGTCCTAGACTAAGCAGCTTTAAAAACATACTGGGCATGTGTGCATGCATGTCTAAAATTCTAAGAGAACAGAGAAGAGATATGACTGCTACTCCCCCAAGGGGGAGCGATTTCTCACTTTCTCTGTCCCTGTCTAATTTCACATTTTACATAAAGTCCCTATCATGATGGATACTATATATATTTTTTAACAGAAAATTTTAAATTATTTGTCTGTTAAATATTTCTTCCCTTCTATCTCATACTCACTCCTCTACCACCCACTTTCTACTATCCACTTTCCTCCCTTACAGTCTCTAGTGTCTACACTTATCCTCTCTACTGTCATATCTTCAGATCTCTCCATTTCTGCCGTAGAGTGCAGATACTTGGTACAAATTAAGTGGAGATATACAGTGTGTATCTTCCAAAGTCTGGCTTACTTGGTTCAACATTAAGTCCTCTATGTTCATCCGCTTTGAATCAAATGATAGTATCTCACTGTTACGCTGAGTAATATTCAATAGTATATATGTGCCACGGTTTTTCAATTCAGTCATCAGGTTTTGAACACTTAGGTTAGTTAGTGTTTTAGCAATTGTGAATAATGCTGCAGTAAACACTGATGTACCAGTGTCTTTCTGATTGTTTTCCTGTCCTTTGGGTAAATACCAAGGAGTGGGGTTACTGGGACATATGGTAGTTCTATTTTTAAGTTTTTGAGGAAACTCCATATTGTTTTCTATAGAGATTATACTAATTTATATTCCTATCAATAGTGTAAAGGTGTTCCCTTTTCACCACAGCCTAGCCAGTACTTGTTGTTTAATTATTTTTTTTTTTTACCCTAGCCATTCTAACTGGGGTTAAAGGGTATTTTTTTGTTTTTGTTTTTTGCTTTAAGAGAGATTTTTGCTATAGGGCGCATGTGCTCCCAGGAAGACAGAGAGAAAGTGAGAAATCAAATTTGCATTTGCCTTATGACAAGAGACTTTAGACATTTTTAAAATTTCTTTTCTTTTTAGTTTTTATTAAAGTTTTTTGCTATAGGGTGTGCATACTTAGGCAGAGCAAGACAGAAAGGGAGATAGCCTTAGATTACAGAATACAAAGATGCTTGAGCATATACATTTACTCCTTTCTCTATCAATAGATCATTCACATGATATGAAAAAAAAGTTTTCAAAGATATAAACATCTTTGGCTAAGAAAAGTTTTTTTTGTTTTGTTTTGCTTTGTAGGTTTTTTTTTGTTTTTTTTTTTTTTTTTTTTTTTCTTGCGTGCACTCACGGTTTTTTATTCATTCATTTTTTTTTGCTATAGGACACATGCGTTTTCCAGAGACAAAGAGAGAGAGAGGTAAAGTGAGAAATCAGCTCCTGAGGGGATGGCCATCCAGTGATCCCTTCTCCTCCACTCTCCTCTTGGGATTTTGGGTATGCATGCATATGTGCCTAGGATGATTTTTCAAGCCACTGAGTCCAAGACTCAAACCACATAGCCGGCCACGTGGAATCTAGCACCCCAACTTGCATTCCACCTACGGGCCCCAAGAAACTAGATCTTAAATGTCCTACACACACACACACACACACACACACACACACACATTAATAAGTAAATGACCTGATGGTAGGTTATTTAACTTGAATGTGGTATTCATTTCATAGCCTATACACATACAAAATATCATAGTGTACACCAAAAACATATACAATCTTTGTCAATTACACTTCAGTAAAACTCTAAAAATGTGGGTTAGCAGGTGGTGTGATAGTGAAAGCACAGGATCCCATGTGACAGACTGTCTGTTGGAGTCTCTGACCTGACAGCTTGAAAAAACCCACCAGGCGCATGTATGTGCATACCCCAAATCCCGAGAGGAGAGTGGGGGAGAAAGGACTGCTGCATGGTCATCTCCTCTGGAAGGTAGATTTCTCACTTTTCCTCTCTGTCCCTTTCTCTCTCAAGTGACCACAGATGCCATGTGGCAAAAATCTAGAAAGAAAACAAAATAAACAAACAAAAATACAAGGAACTCTAAAAACGAAACAAGTAAATCAATATACAAAGAGAAGAGAGAAGAAGAAAGCATTTTGAGATCTTTAAAACAGGTGAAGAGGGACCAGCAGATGGCATAACGCTTGTGTTGCTGGACTCCCACGTAGTTAACTGCAGTTCAAGTCCCAGACACGGCAGCTTAAAACTCATGCCGGGTGTGTGTGTGTGCATGCCCAAAATCCTAAAAGGAGAATGGAGGAGATGGGATTGCAGTGTGGCCATCCTCCCTGGGAGGGGTTTCTCACTTTCTATCTCTCTGTCTCTCTGGCGCATGCACCAGCCCTATAGCAAACATCTCAAGAAAAAAAAGTGGGGAGGGGGGATAGAAAGCTTAATGATAACTGGATGGTGAGAAAGCTCAGGAGCAGCCTGCTTTCCAAAAGCGTGTAAATTGCCAGTACCACCTCACAGAACATGGGTAGCAGGTGAGAGAGAGGGACCAGCCCACAAGAAAAGACCTGAAGATAAACCTCCATGGGTACACAATGTATGATGGACACTTACTCATTCTTAATTATATATGAACAAATAGACAAGGCTCATCTGGCATTTGGGAAAAACATCCAAACAATAGGAGAACAGAAAGTGAAGGGAAGGGAGGGAATCAAAGAAATAATTCAAGAAAATTCCAGAGATTCCTGAGTTTCTAAACTGAAAAGGCTCACTGAATATCCACCACAATAGATGTAAATACGAGGGCATAGGAGGAGAGAACTTTTCCAAAGTTCATGGAAAATGCCTATTATGAAAAAACTGCAAAATTTTAATATATTGGTTCCAAAGAAAATATTCTGTAAGCATCCATAAAGAAAAATGAATATAGAAATAATTCTTCAGTTGCACTAGCCTCATTTCAGAAGCTTCATAGCCATGCATACTACTGACCAACACAGGCATAGAACATTTCCAGCATGGCAGATCATTCTATTAGACAGCCCTGCTCTGAGTATCTGGTTTTTTACTTAGAGTAGACTTGCCTTTCATGAAATTTTATTTTGTACATCCTTTCATGTTGATCAAGTGTCCCGAATTACATTTTGTTTAGTTGTGTTGTTGTGAGACAAATGCATATTTTCTTTTTAAAAATGTGCATTATCAATATCATTGGTTTTTATTTTGTTTTTCAGTTATTTTTTCAGCAGTGATATTTGGGACTCTTACAAATCAAGATCTGCCTGTGATCAAGTGTGTTTTAATCAATCATAAGAGCAACGATTCGTCAGTGGGGAAGTCATCGTATCCCATGGTAATGTAATGTAATGTTAAAATGATAGCTTTAGCTGTTGTTCTCTAGAGACCATACTTTGTAAGCTTTTGAGACTATATGGCTATATGGACTTTTCTTGTTATATATTTAAGTTTACAATGTACTCATATCTGGTATAGATGCAACATCTATATCTCTAGCTACCCGGCACTCCATTCCATCAAGAGCCGTGGTCTCCTTTGGGTGTAGATTCAGAAATGACAGATACCCCGGATGAAGTAACAAGTATTTCCCTTTCTCTTTGAAGAGCATTCGGGCTTCACTTCCAAGATTGAATCCCTCACTTCCAAAGACCTCTTGTATATAAATAGATCTTCCACTTGCACATTAAAACCCACCTGTATAATATATTCCATTTCTATGTCCCCAAAGTTGCTCTGGTGCTAATTGATTTCTGTTTATAGCCTTGTCTCCTTCCCAGACCTAAGAGCTCAACATTGTTTCGGACTACTTTTCCACCCTTGCCTTCGGTTTGGGTCAGTTCCCCAGTCAGTTCCCTCTAAGAGTTCTCATACACTCACATATTCTGTAGTCTCACAGTCACTTCCCTAATTCAAGCTCTCATTAAGTCCCTCATGATCTCGGTGGTATACTAAGTGGCCTCTTCCTGCTTCAGTTCACCTCAGATACAATTGCCTGACTAGCCTCCATGAAGCACAATTCCAATCCTTTACTGCCTGGCTCAGCACCTTCTCGTTATTTAGATTGACACCCCAATCGCTGACAGGAACCAGACATGGCACAGACGTGGCACAGCGTGCTCTGCAGGGCTGGACCCACTTGGGAATGTCCTGGTTTGTGTCCTAAAAGCTCCCTGTGCAAGCAAAACGTGCACGTTCCTCTGATCTGGGCTGCCTGACGCTGGGGGTGGATTGCTGTGTGAAGACTCTTGACGGTTCCTATTTTTCTCTTTCTCTGGCTCTTTCCTGGAAGGAAAACAATAAACAAACTTTTAAAAATAGTAAAACTTCTCCTTAATCTGGCACTAGCTCCTTCACATTCCCACCTTGTTTTTCATGATTCCTCTTTTATGCTGTTTTTCTAACATAACTATTTCCACCCCTCTATTCTTGTTTATCGTGAATTTACTCAGACAAAGGAAGCTTAAATGATAGAGAACTAAACATAGTGGATATCTGTACATACCAAAGAGTGAATGTAAATCAGCCAACTCCACGGACGTTTTCAGTTAAGGATTTATACAAGTATACGCTCACCTTTATTCTTTTACTTAGGTTATTACTCATAAATACATGATATGAGGACCTGTTCAGAAGGGGCCAGTAGGTGGCATGGGGGTTAAGGCACTGGGTCCCACATGGCCAACCACACAGTTTCAGTCCTGGCCCCACAGCTTGAAAATCACACCCAGTGAGTGTGCGTGACTACCCAAAATCCTAAGAGGAGAATGAAGGAGAAGGGATTGATTTCTCACCTTCTCTCTCTTTCTTTCTCTGTGTCTTTCTCTAGTGAGCACATATGCCCTATAGCAAAAACTAAAGAAAAAAGAGAGAGAGACTGGAAACATTCTCAACGTTTTAAAAACAGTGTGCAGAAACTGTAGATACAAGAGACAGAGTGGGAGGAGGGTGGGAAATGGCAGAGGGTGAGAAATAGGGGGAAAAATATATATATTTTATATTATAAATATATGTATTTAACAAGAAATGGAAAATTATTTTTTGACAATAACATGTATGATTAAGCCACTTTACAGTGTTTTCTGGATGGGAAATCACATTTTTAAATAAATTTCAAAATAAATAAATAAAAATAATGTGAAATAGGTTTCAATAGCAACATTCTATGTAAATGTTAAATACCTTATTTAATGCATAAGTTTTTTATGCCAGAAGCGTGGTTGTTTTTCATTTTAAAACAGATATTGGTATTGTAACACAGCTTATTAATAATTAAGGCATTTTGCATACATAGTATTTCATTGTGGGCAAACATATTTAATAGCATTTGCTATGATGTTTTTAACTTTTAGTTGTTTTTTTTTCCTCCCTAAGTTTATATCCTTGGTGAGTGAGATAAAAACAGAGAGAGAGCAATAGTACCCAAAGAACATGCTGATGCCTCAGTCTGTCCGAGTCATCAGCCAGCCTCAGATCATGGCAAATGTGTGCACCCTCAGGGAGATCTCTGGACTTGAACTTGGAACCGTGTCATGTGACATTGCCTTGTAGAGTGCCATGGTTGTTTTTTTTTTTGAGAGGTTTTGCTATAGGGTGCGTGTGCTCACCAGAAAGGCAGATACAGAGAGGCAGAAAGTGAGAAATCACCCCCTGGGGGGATGGCCACGCCGCAATCCCTTCTCCTCTATTCTCCTCTGGGGATCTTGGGCACGCACGCACACGCACCCGGAGAGTTTAAGCTGCCAGGTCTGGGACTCGAACCGTGGTCAACTACACGGGAGTCCAGCGACATGGCCATTACGCTAACTGCTGGTCCCTAGAGTGCCATGTTTTATCACTGTGCCACAGTCTGGCTCCTGTATCTTTTCAATGTAAGAAAATAGCTATGCAGGGCCAGCTGGTGGTATGGCATTTAAGGTGGCTGGATCCTGCATAGCTGACAGCACGGTTCCAAGTGTTGGACCCAGTAGCTTGAAAAACTTGCCGGCTATGTGTGTGTGCATGTGCCCAAAACCCTAAAAGGAGAAATGGAGGGAACCAGCAGTTAGCGTAATGGCTATGTCGCTGGACTCCCACATAGTCGACCGCGGCTCGCGTCCCGGACCCGGTGGCTTAAAACTCATACCGGGCGTGTGTGCGTGCGTGCCCAAGATCCCAAGAGGAGAATGGAGGAGAAGGGATTGCGGCGTGACCATCCCCTTTGGGGGATGATTTCTCACTTTCTGTCTCTATGTCTCTCTCTGTCTGTCTGGCAAGCGCACGCTCCCTGTAGCGAAAACCTCTAAAAAAAAAAAAAAGGAGAAATGGAAAAGGAAAGATTGAGGTGTGGCCATCTTCCACTGGAGGGGGGGTGCTTTCTTACTTTCCCTCTCTCTTTGTCTCCCTCCTCCAGCAAATGCAAACATCTTATAGCAAATTAAAAAGAGGGTCAGCTAAGTGGTGTGGTGGTTAAGGCAACTGGATCCCATATAGGTGACTATGTAGTTCAAGTCCTAGATCCGGAAGCTTGAAAAATACACCAGGCCTGTGTATATGTGTGCCCAAAATCCTGAGAGGAGAGTGGAGGAGAGGGATTGTGGTATAGTCTTCCCACTTGAGTGAATGCTTTCTCACTTTCCCTCTCTTTCTCTCTCTCTGGGGAGCACATATGTCCTACAGCAAATTTAAAAAGAAGAAAATAGTTATACTCATTGTTTTTTATAAAACACAATCTTTAAAAATTAATGATAATTGGCCTTGATTCCAGCATTATTTTTAATATAAATTATATTCCTATGCAGTATTCAGGATTGTATCAAGTCCAGTAGTTCTGGGACCAGCAGATGGTGTAATGGTTATGTTCCTGGACTCCCATGTAGTTGACCACAATTTGAGACACACCAGACACGTGTGCATGCATATCCATGGCCCCAAGAGGAGAATGGAGGTGGGGGTGGGGGGATGGATTGCAGCATGGCCATCTCCTCTGGCGGGTGATTTCTCTCTTTGTCTCTGTCTCTCCAGCAAGCACACACATTCTATAGCAAAAATCTCTCTTTAGAAAAATAAAAAAATAAAAATAAACATAAAAAGACCCAGTAGTTCTTAAACTCACAGTAAGCAAGTAACCATACAAATCTTAACTGCTGCAAGATGAACAACGTTACTATGTACTTTCATTTCATTGAAGTAGAAGTTGCACTTTTGGGTTTTTTTCTCATTTCTATGTGAAAAATAATTGTTAGGTTTCAGTGTTTTTTTGGTTTTGTCTTTTTTTTTTTTATTTTTTTTATGGTTTTGATTTCTCCCACAATTCACTGTTCTCAGAAGGGGCATCATTGTGGAAACTCTATAGTTCTTAGATATTTTGAATAAGCAAGTCTCATTAGTAGACAAAACGTGTTGATGTAACTGGTATACAGCCATCTACACCCTTAGCGATATTGACACTGTCTCCTGGACACAGGGAAAACTGGCATTACTGTTAACCACAATCCACATTGTCATTGTTTAAAATCTGAATGGATGATAGTTCTGACCACCACTCATCTTCTTATTTATTTTAGTTTAATTTTCTTTTTTTTTTTTTTTTTTGGAGAGGTTTTCGCTATAGGGCGCGTGTGCTCACCAGACAGACAGAGAGAGACAGAGAGACAGAAAGCGAGAAATCACCCCCCAGGGGGGATGGCACGGCACAATCCCTTCTCCTTCATTCTCCTCTCGGGATCTTAGGCACACACGCACACGCGTCCGGTGTGAGTTTTAAGCCACTGGATCTGGGACGCGAACCGCGGTCAACTACGTGGGAGTCCAGCGACATAGCCATTACTCTAACTGCTGGTCCCTCATCTTTTTATTTTATCTTAGGGTGTGTGCACTCACCAGGAAGACAGTAGCTTCCAGTAGGATATGATCATGCTTTAGTCCTCTTGCCTTCATGTCTCCATTCTGTCAGGACTTGGGGCACACACAAACACATACTCGGAGTGTTTTTCAAGCTGCCAGGGCCTGGGACTTGAACCATCGTTAGCTATGTGGCATCCAGCTCCCCAAGCACTGTGCTTAACTCCTGTGCTCAGGGGCCAGGCGCTGATCACTCTTTTGATGATGCTTGAGGGTAGTTTAGATCACCTATTACATAATCCTCAAATTGCCTTTTTATTTATTTATTTATTTTTTTTTTGAAGAGTTTTTTTGCTATAGGGCGTGTGCGCTCGCCAGACAGCCAGAGAGAGACAGAGACAGAAAGCGAGAAATCATCCCCCAGGGAGGATGGCCACGCCGCATTCCCTTCTCCTCCATTCTCCTCCCGAGATGTATGTATGGTTTTGTTTTGTTTTGTTTTGTTTTTAAATTTAC